TTGTATCACTTTGGGTGCTACTCAATTATATTGAATAAAGATTTGTCGCATATAGTTGCTTGATTCTTGTTTCTCTTGATTTTTTTTTCCCACGACGGGCAACTTTAACATATACACATCCAAACTCACGCACTCATATGATGGCAAGAGTAGAACCCTCAACCTTATATTATATTATTCCGGTCCTAAATATAAGATCTATTTTATAGTGTAATTTATACTGTAAAATGGATCTTATATTTAGAATCAAAGAATATTTCTCTTTATTGGATCTTGCTGCCTTTTGTGAATTAAGTCTTTAACTTGATCTGGTGGATTAAAGAAGTTAATTGAAGGTGACTAAATCTTTTTAAAAAATCTTAATTACTTAGCAAATGAGATGAGAAATTTTGGGTATTTCATCAATTTTTTTAAACTCAAACACATAGTTTTATTTAAGGATAATTTTGCCATTCTACTAATTTCAATAGGTCTAATTCAGTAATACCAATTAAACTTTGCTGATGATTTCCTTTCTCGACGTCACCCCAGATGTTTTTACACTTTCTAGACACCACAAGAGATCATCTTTTTCTTATCTGTGCGCGTTCCATCTTAATTTCAGTTTGATTTGACCTTCAAAGAGTTCAGTATATTGTGCTCACCTTTTATTCAATTGTTTAAAAAAAAAAAGCAATCCATGTACTGCGATGATGAGCTAGTAAGATCCATGGATGATTTTTTTTTTTTTAAAGAAATAAAGTTGATTGCTTAATTCCATCGCTTTGTTTATCCAATTACCAAAGCATATATAGCGCATGAGCAGTCGACAACTTGGAGGCGGAGCGTCCATCTGCAGAAGAGAAAGACAAAAGGGGCCTGAGTTGAATGTAAGCATGAAACGGTTTTGTCCTTCGGATTCTTTTGGCAGGTTGTGGACTTTTCTGCTGTTTCAGGTGAAGCTAATTTAGCTTTTGGAAGTGAGGCCGGAGCTCTCCAGATTTCGCTGTAACTTGGAAAAAGTGCAGATGGAGTGGGATTGTCTGCAGCTGGTACCGGCAGTTAATGGAAAGGCTTCGTGTCCTGAGTGGCAAGTAAATAATTTGGTTAATGATTTACAAGTTTTGTTTAAGTCTAATGCTGACTTTTCTTTAGATCACACTCCTACATCTTGTAATTTGGTGGCTGATTGGCTTGCCAAATCTTGTTGCAAGGGGATGAGCTCTTTTGGTTGGGGCATTTGCCCTCCATCCCCTCTTTTTGATCTTCTTTGTTCTGACAAGACAGCTTGTAAACGAGGTATTGGCTGAGACGTTTTGTAATGAATAATGAATGATAGTTTTTTCTTTGTGCAACACAATAAAAAATTGAGGGGCAAATCTGAAAGGTAAAGGAGAGGGAAGATTGGAGAAAGACAGCAAACCGGTAACAAATGGGGCAACTTGGGGACTTGGGCGCGGGTCAGAGGAAATGCCCGTGATGGCTGACGACACTGCTGACGAGTGATGATACAGCGACAGTCCTGGCCGTTACGCATCTGGATGTGCTAACTAAGCTTAGTGTGTGGCATTATTAATCATTGTTTTGTTTCTCTTTTTCTTATTAATTTACTCACTAATCATTATTAATATTAACAGTAATATTTTCTCCCTCTCTTAATATCAGAATTAGTTGAGGGATTGAATTTAGTATTTTTCATTTTTCAAACTAATTTATGTAATTTATAAACTAAAATATAATATAATCACGGTACATCATTGTATTGCTAATTTATTTAATTTCTTAATCTACTCACATCAGTTAAATAACTATTACATTAAATATGGAGGGAGAATATTATACCAAATGCAAATAAAATAAACATGGTCTTCCGTAAACTAACATTACTCTATATATATATATATATATATATATATATATATGGCGCCAACAAAAATTGGTTGCTAAAGGATCATGATGATGCGAGTCGAAACAGTATACATGCAATATTTGAAAAATAAAAGTACCCCTCGTTATGAAATCGTTGACTTCTTTTAGCTGCGATTCCAAAATTCTCAACGATATAGTTTAAAGGAAATTTTTTTAAAAAAAAACGGGTCGGCAAGAATAAAAATTTATCAACATCGATGACAACTTATGAAAAATGCAATTTATTTCAAATTCTGTAAGATTTTTTTTTCCGCTAGGCTCAAATATTCTTATATTAGAGGTCTGTTTAAAATATTATCAGATATTAAATATAAAAAGAATAATGTAAGTGGTATTAATTAAAAAGAAGTGAGCCATCATCGTAAGCACCGAGCGTCCATAAACCAGATGCTGTAACTTGACTGGTTCATCTGCAGAGGAACAGCCTAGCGTGTGAATGCGCACAATCAAGCCGACCTGTCGTGCATATTTCATGTACTGCTTCGCTGTCAGTACTAAGGGCCTATTTATTGAATTAAATTAAAATTAATATTGCGTATTGGCGCTACCGACTAAAAATTCCATATGGGAAAATGGCATCACAACCCAAAAATTACTATCTTTCATCCTATAGAAGCAACACAAGAAATTTATTTTAATTTTAAATATAGGATGTTAATTTTTTTAAAAAAAATTTACAAATTTTTTCAACGTATTCCCTGCTTGGTAAAAGATTTTTATTAAGGTAAAGAATTTTTATATTAAGAGTAGTTATAAACTTATAATCCACATGATTAAAATAAATATTTAAAAAACCCAAATTTATTATAAATAACTAAACTAATTTATTTATTTAATAGCATTAAATTAATTAACCAACTCTTATATTAAAAAAATAAAGAGAGCATGATATTTTATTATTGCTATTTCTTTAAATGTTAATAGAGCGTGAACAATGATCAGCGGGATAAGTTTATCATGCATGCATGTTGGGTTGAATAATATAAGTTTATTTACTCGGATTTCTGGTGATCTAGATTCCCCATAAACTATGGGTTATTACAGAGGTTATTGAATTGAATTGGCTCAAAATGTTGGCGGGAAGCAGGAAGAAATAAAAATAATCTTTAATATAAGACCTATTTAACTAATTTAATTATATTAAGAAAGTTAGATAAGTTAATTAATTATAAAAAAATATAGCATATTTTTTCTAAAACACTATAATCATTTTTCTTAATGTCCTCCTTTCCTCTTTTATTTGATTATGGTTACAGGAGTATCTATAAAAGTAATTTAGAAAAAATTGATAAAAATAAGAAATAGGTATTATAGTTAGGACTAAATCAACTCAATAATTAGATCATAACCAAAGAAGTAGAATATAATAAAATATTTCGCAGCCATTCAAGATTTGAAATTGGAAAAACTCTGAGAAGAATGATGTGGAGGGTGAGATGCTGATGTGGTAACAGATGTCAGTCGCGGGGTCCGTCAATTTATTCCCCTCAAGCACAAAAACCATTCTATTTGTGAGTTAAAAATTGCCACATGCAAAAACCATTTTTATAATAGCCAAATTGGTAGGGAAAAATTCGCTCTTCTTTTTTCGTTTATTTTCCCAGAAAAAAGGATCACCCTTCTATAAAACAATAATCTGGGTTCCACTTCAATTTTGTATAATCTGTTTGGATTAAAATTTTGAACATTCTTATAACTCAAATTAAGGTTTCTCGAAGATATATTCCATTATTCTGATTATATTTCAAAAATTTTCGCGTCACGTGCCTTAGAAGGCAATGTTTCAGTTAATAATATATAGACCCGTTACGTATTTAATAAACTTACATTTAATTTTTTTTATAGTCACAACTCAGAAGTCTCATATAAATATATATATATATATATAACATAAAAAATTCAGGCGTTTTTCTTTGATTTAATTTTGAGGTGCGGGGTACGTAAATAAACAGACTTCGATGAAATTCTTATATATGATATGATGGTGGTGGTGGTGGTGAATCATGTACTGGGAAATAATCCCTATGATCTTCATAAGAGAATTCTTAGGAAGTTCACGATCTTGATCTTATTTCCGAGAGAATCCGGCTATATATCTATTAGCATCTTCCATTTTTCCTATTAACAAACGAGAACACTTTCTGGAATGAAGCTAGTTTTATCATGGAACATTACCTAATTTTTTTTGTGCCAAAGCAATTTAATCAACTCAAATAATATGCATTTATAATATTATTATTGTATTCAATTTTTATGACGATCGAGTTATTCAATATTCTTTGGCAGAAAACTGTTATTCAATATTCATCTCATATAAGAATATTATGAAAACAACCGGAGGTGGCACAACAACTAAAAATCGAAAGATAAATCAGGCCGTTAACTTACACATATTCGGTCGATATAATTAGAGAGAGAGAGAGAAGGACGTTGACCCAAATGAATGAGGGCATATACCCCTAGATACCGCTGACACATGAGTCCCCCTTTGCCCTATATATACTCCTTCCCCTTCCTCTCTTTCCTTTCATCCCTCCTCGTCTTCCGCAACCTCCAACACCAGGTCCTCTCTCTCTTTCTCACTGCGTTTTTTGTTTTGCTATACAATATATGATGATCATGTGATAACAGGAACCTTAAAAGAGGATTCTTTTCTCGAAGTGGAAGTGGGAAGATGGCCGCACTTCTTAAGCTTTCAATTTTCTGGGTTCTCATAGATCACTGTTACATTCATTAGTTAGTGGGTCCCACTACTCATATCTTTTGAACCTGATTTCATGGTTTAGTCTCTGAAGTCCTTGCTCATCTTTATTTGATTTTCAGTTCCGCCTATTTTAGCTGGCAGTTTTGGGTAATGAATCGATTCCAGAGGTTTTGCCTTATTTCTCTTGTCTTCGTTTTTCAGTCCCCTTCAATTTTTATTTCTTTTGCACCCTGGCAAATTTTGCCAGTCAAGTCTTCTCCCCGGCGAGGGAGGCCTACAGTTTGTGTCCTTTTCTCTCTGTCTTTTCGCTTTGGTTTGTTTTCTTTGTATCGATGTGCATGGGACCGTTCAGTAAAAGGAAAATAAATCCTATTCTGGAAAACCATCTGTTAGTCCCAGCCACTTGATTTTCAATTTGTTAGGTCTTCTGGGTGATTGCAGTGAAATTACTCGAAAGTTGAAGTCCTAGTCTTTGTTGATACAGACGTCACGACGCTGAACTCATAGGCTGTGTTTAGTAGAAAGCATTGAAAAATAGGAATTGGGATTGAGATTGAAAAAAATCTATCAAAAGAGTGCCTAGCATCAGAGATTACTTGTTATATGGGATTAGTCAAATCTACATATTTGGGATTGGGGAATATCATGAGGAGAGGTAGTATTCCCCAATCCTACCTCTATGGGTTTACTTAATCTCATACAACAAGTAATTATTTATACTAAATACTATTTTAATAATTTTTCTAATTGCAACCCAAATTCATATATTTCATTTTTAATACTTCTTACCAAACAGGATTTTCCAATTAGTTAGAGTTAGTCAACTTTGTTCCGCCATTGACTATGGACCTTTTTTTTTCATATATAAATAATAAAATAGTCTCAAGGCAGGAATAGTTGATGCGTCATCCTTAGATAAGGGTCGATCGACGTTTGCTGATTAAATTTCTTCCAAACCTCGAGCATAAGTTATTCTTTCAAGTCACGTAGCTAACAAAATGACTCTTCCATATAGTACGTAACGTGTTTGGGAAAAATATTAGCAAGGGGTTATCTAGCATATAGTCTGTGATTCTTATTACTGGTTTTCATATGCAGGAGACCTTTTGAGTCTTCTCTAAGATGGCGGGGGAGCAATTGGGAGTACTTACTGCGCTTGATTTAGCCAAGACCCAATGGTACCACTTCACAGCGATTGTGATTGCCGGGATGGGCTTCTTCACGGATGCATATGATCTTTTCTGCATCTCCCTCATCACTAAGTTGCTGGGGCGATTATATTACACCGATCTTACCAAACCAAAGCCGGGAACTCTGCCGCCCAGTGTTTCAGCTTCTGTGACTGGTGTCGCCCTTTGTGGCACTCTGGCGGGCCAGCTATTCTTCGGTTGGCTCGGCGACAAAATGGGCAGAAAGAAGGTCTATGGTATCACTCTTATTCTCATGGTCGTCTGCTCCATTGCCTCAGGCCTCTCTTTTGGCTCCAGCGCAAAGGCTGTTATAGCCACACTTTGTTTCTTCCGATTCTGGCTCGGTTTTGGAATCGGAGGGGACTATCCTCTTTCAGCCACAATCATGTCCGAATATGCCAACAAGAAGACTCGTGGGGCTTTTATAGCTGCAGTCTTTGCCATGCAAGGTTTTGGCATCTTGGCTGGAGGGATTGTTTCTTTGATTGTCTCAGCTGCATTTGACCATAAGTACAAGCTTCCTACCTACGAGGAAGACCCAGCAGGTTCCATCGTGCCTGAATTGGACTACGTTTGGCGCATCGTTTTAATGTTTGGTGCACTACCTGCTGTTCTCACCTACTATTGGCGAATGAAAATGCCAGAGACAGCCCGGTACACTGCTCTTGTCGCCAGGAATGTGAAACAAGCAACTACAGATATGTCAAAAGTTTTGCAAGTCGAACTTGAGGTTGACGAGGAGAAGGTCAATAGGCATGCGGCTGAGAATGAATCCAATAAATTCGGCTTGTTCAGCAAGGAATTTCTCAAGCGCCATGGGCTGCATTTGCTGGGAACCACTAGTACCTGGTTCTTATTGGATATCGCCTTCTACAGTCAGAACCTTTTCCAGAAGGACATTTTCTCTGCAATCGGATGGATCCCTCCTGCAAAAGAAATGAACGCAATTCATGAAGTTTACAAGATTTCAAGAGCTCAGACACTCATAGCTCTGTGCAGTACCGTGCCGGGTTACTGGTTCACAGTGGCATTAATTGATTACATGGGCCGTTTCGCCATCCAATTGATGGGTTTCTTCTTCATGACGGTCTTCATGTTGGCCCTGGGCATACCATACCATCACTGGACCTTAGAGTCCCACCGAATCGGGTTCGTTGTGATGTACTCCCTCACCTTCTTCTTCGCCAACTTTGGTCCAAATGCCACCACATTCGTTGTGCCTGCAGAGATTTTCCCAGCAAGGCTAAGGTCTACATGTCACGGAATATCAGCTGCTGCAGGAAAAGCGGGAGCGATTGTGGGTGCTTTTGGTTTCTTATATGCGGCACAGAGCAGAGACCCTACAAAGACTGACGAAGGGTACCCTCCAGGAATTGGGATTCGATACTCTCTGATAATGCTTGCTGTGATCAACTTCGTTGGGATGTTGTTCACCTTCTTGGTCCCAGAATCAAAAGGCAAATCACTGGAGGAGTTGAGTGGGGAGAACGATGATGGTGAAGAAGGTGTGGTGCGAACTGGGCAAGCTGCGACTGGCAGGACAGTTCCAGTTTAATGGGGGTTCGCCCCAGTGTGTGTTTATTAAAAGAGGTTCAAGTTAAGTAGATCGTGAAAATTTTTAGTGGCGGGTTGGCTTAGCTCAAGTGTGATCGGTAATAATGATGCATGTAGATATATGTCTTATATATTTGCTTTGAGATGCTTCAACTCTCTCAGGCAATACTTACGGTGTGTGCCTAGCTATGTATGTCCAAGTTTGTTTCTTGTTTCTCCTTTCATATTTGATCTGTGTAAATTGGGTAATGGGTGTTACTAATTGGGGAATTTTGTTTTAGGACGTGGACTTTTTAATTTTCTGATGCGGGTGAAAATTTCTGCAATTAAAATCCATGGAACCTATAATCCTTGGTTTTTTAAATTTATCCTCATTTTGATTTCAGTCTCTCAAGTTTTAAATTATAAGTTTTGGTTCCTCAAGAGGCAAAATGTTTTAAGCTTTTATTGAATTATAGGAACAAATCTTTTAAATGAAAAGAAATTTGGGAGACCAAAATTTAAAATTTAAAACTTGATAGACTAAAAACAAATTAAAAAAATTAAAAATTGTATTAACGCCAACAGATTTTACAAAATTTTAATCCAGACTACTCCCTCCCCCAAAAAAAGAAACACACACACACACACAAGCGTGTTTCCAGCTCGCTGCCAAAAACAAGCCAGCGATTGTAAAAATATAGGAATTGATGAACCAGATTGACAAGTAAACTCGAGCCACACGGTTGTCCCTAATTTTAGCAAATTCTACCGCCACGAATGCACGGCTTGAACCATATTTATTTAATATTTTGATTTTTGAGATAATTTTACCATTTTTCTTGCAGTGTTTTTAGATTATCATCTCTTGAGAGGGAGTTTTTGTGGGATTAGATTCTAATGTTTTCAAGCTCGTATATGAGATAGCTCTTTCATATCAGATAGCTCTTTCAATATAGTCGCTTGCATCAACAAGATTGAAATCTCAACCTTGGTGGTTAGGGATTTTATGTCATATTTCTTATTATTTTCCTATAGAAATGTCACTCTTTACGTTTCATATCTTTTTTTTTTTTGGGGTTAATACATAGGGATGTTGTTACTTTCACACTCTTGGGCCATGGGCCCAGTAAACCGGGCCTAACACAGCCGAAGTAGACCATTAGGAAAACAAACGAAACGATGTGGTTTATTACCCCACCACCTGAGTTAGCCAGCCCGCGAGGTGATGATGAGATTTTTCAAATAATATGACGGGAAAATAACGATTGCAAACCACGAAAATGAATATTAATTACAATTAGAGATCATAAATTTTGAAATATCAGAAAAGGGCGAAGGTCCTTGAATGATTTTATTCAAAAAAAAATGGATGGGCAAAAATAATTTGGCGTTTAATAAAAACATGCAAGCACCGACAGTCTATTATTGGCGATTGGAAATCTCATCAGTGACTATTTTACGATGGACGGCCAATGCCAATGGGGGATCCCTAGAAAGGGCATTTTTGCAGCAAAACTTTTTTTCTTTGCAAAAAATGGCATCTAAAGAGCTTAATTTTGATCTTCAGTTGTGTTAATATTTTTATATGATTTTATAATTTGTCATATTCCCCTGTCTCAGGTCTCAAAATGAAGCTAAGAGTCGAATTTAGGTATTAATGAACAAATAGAACTGCACAAGAAAATAATTGAATAGAACGAGGAGGATTAAAATGACAGGGGATGTGTCATTTTGTTGTTGAAGAAACTACTAATAGAAAACTGACAAGGGGAGCAGTAAACTTGATTGGCTTATTTGTTTAACATCACATTCATAACTAAAATGTGAATGTAACACTTTTAAGCTAAATAAAACGATGTTGTATGAATCAGACTGATCGAGGTATCCTTTTGAAGATCGTTTTGTTTCATAATTAAGGTTCATCTAAATGGCACAACCTGAATAAAGGGCACCAACAATGGTAATTAGGTAGAGGGCACTTAGTTATTAGGTACACCCCAGTGGTAGGTTTGTGACTTTAGTCAACTATTACTGATTATATGTCTTGAGAAGGGCACCACCAAAATTGGGTTTGGAACTTGAAATTGAACTCAATGGGTTGGTAGCTATCATCATTGCCTCTCCACTTCGTCTTCCTCAGTTGCCAAAGCTGAGACTTTTCTATTTTCTGGGTTTGTGTTTCAAATCACACGGTCCTTTCTCCACTATGTATCATTGTTGCCGCATGACTAATCTCCACCAAGTCCACTATTAAGGTGATATTATGTCGTTGCTTGAAGTAAACAAAAAAAGAAATAGATATGTACATAATGATAGGGATCCCATCTCAAAAGTAAAGCTTCCTATTATATTTTTGCTGAGCCCGGAAGAGCGTCCTCTTCAATGGCTCTGAAGTTTCATAAAAATGTATGTAAGCAAGCGGGTTTCAAATCACATATTAAAATTTTGAAGAATTTTTATGGGTCGTCGATCGTTACGTTTTATATACATATATTTCCCAACAAAGGTAAGTAGTTTTGCAGGGATTGAGTTTACGAAGTCAATAAAAGGAGTGAGATTCCTGTGAAAATGGAGTCCCCACAAAGGTTGAACAGGGTAGAACGATGACACCCTAATCTAATGCAGCCAACCTCACTCTTTCGTGCTCGTGTTGACTCCTGTTTTCTCTTTTCTTTGTTCAAAATTTAATTAATGTCTCGTTATTACCGTATTTATCATGTGCTAAGACCCTAATCTTACACTTTTATGTATAAATGCATGTTATAATACAGGATGGGAATTCATGAATGTGATTCAATTTAGTTGTATGACAACCCAATCAGAATCAGACATGGCAAGCAGCACTTATCATCAGCAAATTCACCCAAGGACCATACAACATACAAGACGAAAGGCCTATGACTTTGATCCATTACTAGGCAGAAGGCAGAAGTTCAAGAATTGAAGGATGGGTTTCCAAGAAAGAATCCTAATTAGCGTCAAGGTCTTAAAACTCCTATGAGAAGTGTCTCTTGGAAGTATGTTATTTCTAAAGCCTGGAACAAGAAAACTATTCAGTTTATTTGAACAGCACCGCTTATTCGAAGTTTTAGTGTGAATACCTCTGCGGTGTTTAGAGATGAACCTACCAAGTATTTTAAGCATGATTTCAATGTGAGGGCTTCCATAGTGATACGTTGTGATATTTGTTAGTTTCGAGGGATTTAAAACTGCATTTGTGTAAAAGGTAAGCTGAAGTTTAGAATATTTATAATTTCAAGTTTTGACTCTGTTTTTTCGTTCAAGTGTTGACATACTGCAAGTAGCTAGTTATTATACTTACCTATTTTCCATAGCAAATTTTACAATACCAAGATACAACAAAAAGCAGAATATAAATTTGCATGGCAACATGTATGAATGAGCTTCTTTGATTTGGGGGTTGTGGGTCCACATCAGAGAGCAGAATTTTGCTTGGTGATGGGAGTATTGGAGAAGGATAAACTGGTTTTGGGGGTGTGGACGGATCAAATGGGTAATTGGTTTTCATTTGTTGAGAAATTTAGCGCCCACAAGTGAATGGACTAAAGTTGAAAAGCTAGCACCATTGATAATGTACTGACAAGAACTGTTGCGTGAAATGTTAGCCAAGCTCTGGTGGCTAGCAAACCCGTGACGAATCTTTTGCTTTCCTACTTTTGTTAAAGTGGCAGCCAAAGTATACAAGGAGAATGGGAATAAGATTTCAAGAAATATAGATAATTATTAAAAAATTTTAATAACAATTTAAACAGCAATAATAAGTTTCAGAATAAAAAATAAGTTTTTAAGACTTATTTTATAATTATTTTTTAAAATCTTATTATAATTTTTCCAAATATATACGCAACCCAAAGCCAAAGGGGTTGATGGCATCACTTGCAGGTTCCGAGGTCGAATCCCAGACGCAGAGCGGATTTTCACTGTAGGTTGGGCGTGATGATGAGTGTGAAAGGCCCTTCCCATGGGTAAGGGATCGGTGTGTGTAAAATAAATAAAAAGAAATACTCTTCAGAAAATTTATCCTTTTTTTTTAGTATAGTTTTGAAATTTTAAATTTTAACTTCTTACAACTTAATCTGTAAATTTTGATTTAATACAACTCAATCTTTATAGTTTAAAAATTTAAAATATTAATTCCTATATATATTTTAGAAAATAAAGTTATATATCCCATAAAATTCAGAAACTAAAGTTGTAAATAGTCAAAATTATCAGAAATGAGTTGCGGTGAGTTAAAACTCAAGATTCACGTTATGAGTGGATCAAAACTATAAGAACAAAAAATACCGAGTCATGAATTGAGAATTAAATTACAATGGAAGTAGGATCTAAAAGATAAGTTTTCATCATTAGTTTTTATTTCTCATATGGGTTATTTTTATAGCTTTGTCTTTAAAAAGGGGAAAAACAAGAGCCTTATATGCAGATTAAGATTTGGACTGAGAATTTCACTCTCTCTTTGTATATAGAAACAGAGAAACACACAAGCGCGTAATCTTTGGGGATAATAAAACTTTATATCCAGAACCAAAATAAAATACTCTTCTTATTTTAAGTTTTAAATAATTAATTTACGAATAATAAACTAATAGTTAAAATTAGTTTAAAACAATAAATAAGTTAAAAATATAAATTTATTTTCAAATATATCCTTATAATAAATAAGAAAAATGATGAAAGAAGATGTGTGGAGAAATGTGATGAGGGAGAGTATAACAAATGAGAGAGAATAAATAATTAAGGACAAAATAAAAAATACATTAAATGTTAAGATAAATCTCAAATTAAAGCTTATATAATAAACTATACCTCTTTTCAAATTTAAAACTTATAAATAAAAGCGGAGGAAGTACTACTCTATATGTTATCAGAGTGGTGGAGTTCAAAACTTCTTGTGGTTTCGTGTTCTACAGGCTTAAGTCCTGTTTGGCAGGACAGTAAAAAAATTTTATAAATATATTTTATGTAAGTTTAGATAAAACTCTTTTCATATATCGCTGGAAAAGCATGGAGTATTGTTTCGTTTGAGAATCCACGGAGTTCATCCAGCGAGGTTTTCTTGTAAGTTGTAAGGCCATCTATTAAATGATATGCATGAAATTTATTTATTATTTTAAAAAAGAAAACGGTTACAGGATAGGCTGCCCGCAGTACAACGCAGTCGCATTCAAAGTCAAAGTAGGCTGCCCAAACGGGTCAACACACTCTGAAGATAGATATTGGAGTGCCCGTCCTCTCTCTGATGATGATAATAATAATAATAATAGTCGGGGTCCA